ACAGGTTCAGGTAATTATGCGGCCTTTCTCTAACGGCTCACGAGGGCTACTGACACCTGAGAGTATGCTATACATTTATGAACCTTCCATGAACCTGTTAATAAATTCTGAGATGCTTTGGACATGACAAGAATATTGTCCAAGAATTTAATTGCTACTTATTGTTAGCAGTATTAGAATGTATTTGCTTAAATTTGATAAGTCTGGGCATAAAGCGAGTTGTTCTAGGCCTTGCAATTTTAAAAACCATAATAATAAGATAGAGATGAAGGTCTGATAGAAATATCAGTAAGACCAGGTACGGTTTCGGATGGGTGTAACCTCTGACTATCAATACTGTTTCTTTTGTGATTAGCCTATTAAGGCTTCCGCCACAGTAACCGAGTTTCCTCATTTGTTTCTCTCAGAAATACCCCATTGCATCTAGGATTTCATGTCATTCAAAAAGGTATGTTGAGCACGTGCTGCAAGCCTGCCAGGCGCTGCTGAAGAGGCTGGCGACAGCGCCACGAGGCAGGAAGGAGGCTGCTGTCACAGAGCTGACCGTCTAGCGGAGGAAAGCGGACGGCAAGTGAGCAGTTATGAAGCAAGGTGATTTCGATAAGGAGAAACCATCTGAAGAAAATACAACCGACCAGGGTGATGGGACCAGAAGAGGTGGGGGAGGGGCGTTCTTGGGCTGGGCAGACATGAGAGGCAGTCACGGGAAGTAAGCATCAAGGAGCAAGGAGGAGCCAGACCCTGTAGGTCCTTGGAGGCCGCCAAAGTAATCTGCCACTACTGGTTAGAAGAGTGGCTGGCACGTTAGAAAAAGTCCAGGAAGTGGAAAGCAAAAGTGAGTGACCAGTCGGACAGAGGTCCCAGGGCCTGATGGGCAAGGACGGGGAGGGGCCCTGAGGACTTGCGTGTTCACTGAGCCAGACGGGAAGGCCCTGGAAGGCCCTCAGTGGGCTGACGTGCTCTGGCGTTCGTCTTAGCGGGGCCGTTCTGGCTGCTGGGCTGTGAGCACCCTGCGAGGGACGTGGGGAAGGCGGGGCGTCGGGAGACCACGGGATGATGTCCGAGAGAGAAAGGCACAGCGGCAGAGGTCGAAGATGATGGGGGCGGGGTTAGTTAACATACTGGCTATGGGGTGTAAGCAAAAGAGGAACGAAAGCTTACTCCAAGGGACCCCAGGGTGCGAGAAGGGAAAGCCCCAGACCGAAGCCCTGGGCAGCTCCTCCGGAGGAAGAAGTATGAAGACAGGGAAGCGGGGTGCAGGCGCGCTGGGTGCCGCTAAGGGAGAAAGTGAGAACGAGGCCAGTCGGGACGGGGGGCCGGACGTGGCGCAGGCAGGGCTGCCGTGATCTGTGGTCGCGGCTCTAAGAGCCTGTGACACGAGAGGGGTGTCGGGGAGGCTGCACTCAAGACGGCCAGGATGACGCGGACCGCTGTCCCCGGCAGCCTCCTGCAGCTCCTTTCCGGGGTCACGATTTCTCATGCTCCATTATGCCCCCTCGTCGCTTTTTCACAGACAGCCTCTGGCATTCACCTTCTCCACCCTGATTTCTCTGCGGAAGACTTCACGCCGCGCCGTCGTGACCGACGTTTCATCTGGGGCAGGCCTCGAGGGACGAGATCGCCCCAGCCCTGTGAAGACCCTGTTCCAACGTTTCCCCGCATCGGGCGTCGCTGACGAAAGGTCTGCTGGAAGTGCCATTCTTTCCGTAAGCAGGAGACGGCTCTGACAGCCTCTGGAACTCTCTCTACCCTCCTGACATTCTGAAGTGTCACTCCGACGTTTCCAGAGGGCAGCCTCGCTCAGCTCGGTCCGGCTCGGCTCTTCCCTTCACCCCTCGCCCATCTCCATGGTACCGACACGTGGCCTTGGCCACGGCCAAGGTAAGCGCTGTCCGCAGCCACGGCCTCCCAACTGTCGACGGCAGAGCGCTCCGGCCCGTCGGGGTGGTTCATAATCACAATCGGATTTCTGACGTGTGCCTGACTTTGGTGGCACCTGGGCAGTTAGGCAGGTCAGGGCTGGTTACTGGACGTCAGGGGCCCACCTGCCCGTCTCACAAACCCCGCCACCAAGGCTTAGGCCTCCGCCGACGCAGGTGCCCCACGCGTGCGCCGGTGACAGCTGCTGAGTGTCCGCGGCCACGAGGCCTGCACCCCAGGACCCTCCGCTCCTTGCGTGCCGCTGCTCACTGCTGCTGCCCTGTCAACAGCGGAGTTCCATGAGTCCTTGTCGGCAGCCCGACATTTAAGCCGTTAATGCATAATTAGCACGTATAGACAAAGGAGTAAAATTTATTAACTGGAACATGAGAAATAAAACCTCTCTAACGAACTACTATAAGAATCCAGACACATTCCTGATGAAAATAAATCTTTTGACTTCTGCAAAGGTTTCGTTCTTCTGACCCAGGCAGTCTCTCTGATGATTATTTGCCATGGAGCATAACTTTCAGCAGCAATATCACGCAAGCCACATGTTGTTTTTAAATTTCTAGTAACCACATTTAAAAAGAATAAAAAGAAACAGGTGAGTTCAATTTTGAAAGTATGTTTTATTTAACCTAAACACATCGAGAACATCACCGTTTCAACGTGCCATCGGAAACCGATGCGATATTTCACACTCGTTCCCACACTAAGTCTGAGCCCCAGTGTGCGTTTCGCATGTATGGAACGTCGGTTCAGACCAGCCACGGCCAACGGTCCACCAGCAGCGCACGGCAACGTCGGGCAGTGCGATGATAGCCTCGGACTGAACCTAATTATTTGGCGACTCTGGGTGATAAAAAGCTGTCTCCTTTCCGGAGATGGTGGGCATGGCTTCCTCTCTACCAGGATACGGTCCGTTTCTTTCTGCCACGTGGCTACACTCCCACTCTTAAGGGGTTCCGTTCTGAAGCCATCGGACCCTCGAATGCTGTACGAAGTTTCTTCCACTTCATTCTCACCTGACGACATGTGCTGCTCTCTGCATCCGTAACAGTCCTCTGTTTGACGCCTCTTCTCGGGGCGAAGGACGTCATGGCATGTTCTCTAGTACCACCTCGTGCAGCTCCATCCAGTAATTAATTTGTGACTAAATGAGTGCATTTTCAAATGTTACAGCGTTAGAGCATTCAATGAAAGTGGGTTATGAGAAATGCCACTTTCCGTCACAGTGATCCTATAGCATGTGGATATCATGCTATTCCAGGAAAGGACTGTGGCAAACCAATGCCAATCGAGATTTCTCAGCCCCAAGCTGAGAATCATCGACTGATGAGAGTAACTGATTTCCAACATTTATTGATTGCTATGAAATGAAACACCCTGCTTTTTGGCATATAGATTTGCTTGTGCTCATCTTCACAAGTTTGATAAACGTGTTCTCATAACTTGCGTAGCTGTATCCAACATAAATTGTTCTGCACGTGGATATTCTGATTTCTGGTAGGTTTTCAACACCGGCTAAAGGCTGACAGGTGCCCAGTGATCACGGCTCCCTCCATGTGTCCAAACTCTCGTGCGCAATAAGTATAGTACTAATATGGGACACTCGTCATGAACTATTGCCAAGGTGAATCTGATATAATATATCTTGAACATTTGCTAAACATCTGTTTGAAGTCATAATCTTTGAAAGATTCCCCTCATGTACAAATGCTCTAAGTTCATTAAGGCTGATGCAATGATTGAAAGATTTTCCTCATTCACTGTATCTGAAATTTATAAAGCGGAGAGCACACACTAAGGGCCTTCCCATGAGCATTACATTCGCAAGGTTTCTCTGACTGACGCGAAGGGAGAACACTGGCCGCAGGCCCTTCTACCAAGTGACCGTGTTTATAAGGTTAAATATATAACGGAACTGTAGAAACACTAGAAAGAGCCAGCAAGCTTCAAAAAAAGTGTATAAAGAGACACGATTATATTTCAATTACAGCACATGAATATGTATTAAGGCGTATTTCCATCCAGGATGATTGAGTCTCCTTTTAATAATTAATCCACTTGAATAGTCGGTATTGCAATATTACGGAGATACCAGAAAATTAGATATAATTCAAATGTAATATTGTAGCCTGAATTCTAAATTCTACCATTACCTTTTCGTTTAAAACTAGTTAAGACATGTAAGTTAAAGAGTAGCAAATTAATTAGTTTCATTATTATAAGAACAAAGGAGGGAAAAAAGATTTATCTGTTCATCCTAGTCACTGGACACTTGTCCCTGAAAGATGATTATGGACTAAGTGGAGGGGGCAGGAAGGAGGAGGCGTTTCTTTAACATCTGAGCAAAGTAAACACTCTCTGAATATTTACATACCGAACTGGGTTTTCTGAACTCGCAGTGCGCCCTTCCCAGGCCTCACTAGCAAACCGCGCAGGCCACGCGTCTCCCACAGCTCACCGCCACCTCTCACTCGCCGCCCGAAGGGACCCTGCCCAGGCTCACGCCCACGTCCAGGGAGCGCTCCTGCGGGCGTCCTGCCACGTGGAACGCCTGGGGAAGCACCTCCGCACTGACTGCAGCCAGGGCCATGGTGTCGCTCCCCCAGGAGACTGGGAGCTGGACAGCCAGGGACCTCTTCTATCTCCAGAACCTGGCGAGTGTCTGGTACGTAGAAAATGGTCAACGATTTTTAAGAAACTACCTATCTGGTGTCATGCGAATACTTTCACCTTACACTCTCTAGAAAATAACTTTCTTATAAGTATTAGAGGCTTTTTAAATTGCTTTGTTTTTTGTTTGTGTCCTTCGAAGAAGTAAAAAGAAACCCATGGGAGAAAAACAAGTCGATGGCGATACAGAAATACAGTATGACTCGGTTATCATTTTCCCAAGAAATTTCACAACGACTGAAATGCTAGTCGGTCACATGTCACCTGAATAAATGTTATAAATAAAAAGTGAGCACTGTAATATGGGAGTAGAGATTACTGCTTTCTCTTCTTGGGAAACACCATGAACGTTTAATCTGAACAGACACTGAAGATGTCGCCTGGAAGAGCACACTTACCCTGACGTCGGTAGCGTCCCCATGCCTGATGATACTGGCCCAGGTGGTTGGCTCGCTGTTGCTCTCAAAATAATGAAAGACCTTGAGCACGCGCTCCATCGCTCCAGGGGAGCGTTCCACACCTGTACCCAGGTGAGTCTTGGCACTCGAATTCGGTGTGTGATTCAAGTTCGGGTCGAGGTAAGCAGCTGCCATTCTTTTGCTAGATGCTAGGTACCTGTCATATTCTGTACGAGAAAAAAATCATTTTCATCAGACGATATTTGAAATCTGATTAAAATGTGATGTCGATACTTACATTACCAACGCTGTTCTACATTCTCTCCGCACGGTAAGTGATCACGCGGACAGAATATAAAAGTGAGCATGAGGACAACTGGGACCTAATCCAACAAGATGATCCCTAGGTCTCCCCGCCCCCCAGGGCAGTACACCATTCACGGTGGTGGCGTAATAAATGTTTGCTAAACAAATTATTCAAAGGCCAGGAGCCCTGTTTCAGCTCTGTCAAAAATTCGCTGTCATCTATGAGTGATGAAACTTGGCCCTCCCCTTTTCTAAGTCACAGACTTTGAATCTGTGGGACGATCTCACAGGAAAACCAAACATGTTAACTTTGCTGCCTACTTCTGAAAACCTATACATGAAACACAAGTTTTCTTAACACAACAAAAATTCAGTGAGTAGTCATTATATACACTAGGCGTCAGTGATGAAAAATTATAGCTAAAACAAGGTCCTTCCACTTAGTCACTTTGCAGAAGTCAGACACGTCACAACAGAAAACAAAACCAAAAAGCATAAACAACTGAATTTTCAAAAAGTGTGGTAGGGGGCCTTCATTTGAATGTGAGGGAATACCTTGGGCAAGACTAAAACTCTCACCAAAAAACTCAGCAAAGCCACATTAAAACACCCCCCAAACAACGTTTAGGGTCCGAGACGGTCTGAGGCAACCAGATGACAGAGAAAGAGACATGAAGAGACAATGGCTGCCTTCTCCCGAAGGGCATTTGCCAATTCTGTACCTTCAAGAGCCTGAAGATCGCCCCCCCAAAAGGCACACATGAGTGAGAAACCAGCAGAGCTGCCGACAATGAGACCGAATCATGAGTGTGAGGGACCCCGGATTCTGGTGAGAAGGACGGGGTGAAGAACTGAGTCACACACCGCAGGTTCTCCCGTCAGGACAGTCGCCAGTCCTGAAACCCAGCCGGGGGGAAGGCGAGCAGAGTGAAGGGGAGACAGGGAGGGGGGACAGGGAGAGGGGACAGGGAGAGGGGACAGGGAGAGAGGACAGG